ATGTCACCTCAGTGATCAGCCTCCAGTTATATTGCTGTAAGTGGCCTGCACCAATCTTCAGGGCAGGATGGAACTCTAGTTTTCATACTTTTTTGAGCCATTGTTTGTTGGTACAAGCAGCTTCCTTGGATGCCCCTTTTGGTAGGGCAGTATTGCTGCAAATTCTGCAGCACTCAGCAGATCGGAGTTGACCACTCTGGACTGTCAGAAACCTGCCAAGTGTGCACATTAGCAGTGAGACTGACTCCAGAGGTCCCTGTCCCATACTCTTCTGAGATGGCTCCTATTTCCTACATTTACAGCACAGTAATATTTTGGGATGCCTCCTCCTAAATAGTATGGACCATAGATGCAGATGGCAACGTGAGGAACAGTCCCAACATGCCATCACACAACCTGTCTCAAACAACCCGTGACTGCAGTCCAGAAAATCCCCAAGAAGCCAGCCCCATCAGCGAGAGCATCTGGGCCATACGGACAAAAACAGTGAACAAATCAGTTTCCAGGAATTTTCCTTCCACTGCCTCTTGATGCAGATATAAACTTAAACATGTCTGAGCCCGATACAGCCTGAGACTTCCTTCTACATGTTGCCTGGGAGAAAGGGAAATATAGAGAAGGAATGGAGAGTCTTGACTATTTTTTGAGTTATTATTGGGTAACAGTAAGAGGTGTGTTAATGCAAGGCACACCTAAGTTCCTATTGGTGTTCCAAGGGATGTTGAACTTGCTAAGGGGTTTCAGGCCCTGGCCGATGAGAAAGAGTCTTACTAGCCTTTAGGAGGGATAAAATTCTTCACCAGACCACCCTTCTGTAAATAAAACTCTTGTATTCTTTGCACAGTTTGGGAATTGTATGGGATTCCTAATAACAGTTTTGTATTTAAATACATCATATTAATAATGAGACTTAGTAGGATGAGAAGGAAAAATCAGATTAAACCAAAATAGGCAGCATTCATAACATATGTAGGGTTTTCTAGTTACTCTTAGGATTAATTGCAATAAAGGAACAGAGGAATAGATTCAAGAGCAGGATCCGTGTTACTCCTGCATCTGACCTAAAATGATCCTGACATGTTTAAGTTGAAGATTTTGGTGTTGGTCACATTCAAACCCTTCTGCTAAAAGTGAAGATGCCTTTAGGACTTGTTTTCCTCTCAGTGTCTAAATGCCACCAAAGACCAGACCGTGCAGCGACACTTCCTCCCCGCCCTGTCCCCTGGGAATCCACATGGTAAGTGGATCCTGTTGGACCTTATGGTTTTCTTGCAGAGTAATCTACCTTTGGTACATGTGATTATAGGATGTCTAACACTGCACAAAGCACAGTCAGGGGGAATGCCTTTACCCCCTATTGCTTTGGGATTGAACTGTTTGTTTGAGATTTGTAAGACCCACAAAGTCACTCCTTTGTCTGGAGATGGTGATTAGTGGGAAGTGAGAAGAGAAAAATACAGAAGAAAATGGTTCTTTTTTCTTTAAATGAAAGAAATGCTAAACACAATGGAATTCCTATATAATAGCTATCCCTCCCTTAGTAAATCTTCAGACAAATTTACCGTCCACAGTGTTTTTCTGAAAATATATTTATGACCCTATGGATATATTCCAGTTACATTATGGATCTTAGCATTCTGGTTGCTTGACAGCATTTTGAGATCTGAGTGCTGTAACTTCCTTATTATCCACTCACAGTCATCTTCCACAAGGTAGATGCATATTGCTGTAACATTTTCTGCAAATTTTATCGAGCCATGTGCCATGTAATGTCTTTCATATCAAGTTCTTATTTACTAGCATGTTTTTATTATTTTCTTCTAATAGTAATGACTGTTTCTCAATTAAATTCACTGTTATGAACCAATATATTGCTAATGTATCTGTGCTTTTAATTTTGAGATGCATCCAAGCATCAAAGTTAAGTGTGTTATTTCAGAACTTTAATTGTTACAGCATGCTGGCACTTCTAATAGGTGCATGTTCTTCCTTAATTAAAGACAAGTCTTCAAAATCAGTACACTCTGCCTCATTGATCCATGATTGCCTCAGCTAACTCTTGTCAGCCAGTGAAGTTTATAGAAATCCTGCTAGAAACTGAAGACTGTAAAAAACCCTTACTCTTTAAACAAGAATGATTTCCCTTGGCAAGATACAGAGATGAATCACTGCCAACACTTTCCTTTAAGAGCCATGTTAGTAAAATTGGGCCAGATAATACTTATTTCTGAAACATCTTTTTCTTAGGCAGCCTCATATTTCACACAAATCTGTGGTAGGTAGCCTGACAGCAATCAAATACAAGTCTAGAGAGGGGAATTAATTTCTTCTTCCATGTATCCAAAATGGGTATTTTCGTAAATGGATGTTTTCTAAACTGGATTTGCAGAGCTCTTTTATTTTTGAAGATAGGTAACATTTTTCTCCAGATGACAGTTTGGACACTGGAATCAAGTCACACATGCCTTAATATTTGTGTAACTTCAATCATTTTATGAACTAACAGAAGTCAAATATGTCTCTGATGATTCTATGGAGCTCAAAATTTAGAGTCAAGTCATGGATATCAGTCTCATTACGATACACATCTATACAGCCACATTTACCACAGTATCCAGATAGCTCACAAATTTTAGCATATTTATTCTCAGAATATCCTTGGCATTAGTCCAGTTTTACAGATGAGAAACTAAGGCACCACTGTAAGACCACTTAATTTTATTGGAATCATCACGACTACTTGCAAACGGTGAAGACCAAGAAGCACTCTGGAGTTTCATCTCTCATGAGCAGTATGACATGACTGCTTCCCTGCTTCCCGGCCCAGACATGCACCCTGGCTACACCTTGGCTGTACAACAGAATGAAAACTCAGGGTCTTCCATGCTTCCATCTCACCCTCCCTTTCTCCTGCACCTGCTTTGATTCCTCCCAGGAAAAAGACCTTAGGTGTATAGCTAGGGAGGTAGCCAAGGAGTGGATGACTGAGCAACCAGGACTGGGATGTACTGGTGGACACAACTTCATAGGAAGCCTGGTGCAAAACTGTAAGACTCCTTTAGCCCTGTGTTAGCACAGTGACCACTAGGTCAGCTTTCCTACATAGGGACAAAAACTTTTGGCAAACTTAGGCTTCAAAGTTACACAGTCCCTAAGCTACAGTGTATAGCACAGTTTTAGGTTAGTTCTCTAGATGCAGAGGTGGTTATTGTAAACATTTTGATCGGTTTCCAAAGATTGTGTCTCATGTTCTTATGCATCTGCCCTGTATTTACTTATCTCCCATATTATACCTGGAAAGACAATCCTGGGTTTTATCTGAAACTGGGAAGTGTCATAACAAAGTCAACCTTTGTTTCTTCTACCTCCAACACATCGGATCACCTTGTTTGTAAGAATGCAATGTCAACCAAATATCTTACTGCATCACTTCTTATTTTCCTTTAGTGGAAACAACCCCTGAAGGTCATATAGTTGTCCAAACCATGTCAAACATAGTAGCCAGCCTAATGAGGTCCATGACCTCTAAGGCAATTCCAGCAGGCATATTTTGAGGTTTTAGCACACTGGCATAGCCTATATATATTAGAATTTTTCTATTGAATGTTAAGGTGTGACCAACCAAATCTGCAAAACCAGTTCCTGAAATAAGATGCAGGCTTCATTATACTTCGTATCATATGATTTCTGATGCAAGATATGATTGCTAAAATTGATATTAGCTTCAATGACTTTTTTCCTAGCAGACATTAAACCTTTCTAGAATTTGTTTCTTTCTCCTCTAAGGATTACCTTTTTTCTCTACTGAAACAATTCATTTTATTTGTTCTCTTTTTTTTTTTTTTTTTTTACATTATGTTTATTGATTCCTTTATCATTCTTCTGTAGAAACAGCCTTGTAGATGGTTAAATACATTCTATATGGATACTTGGAACTGCTATTTTATGAAAGTCACAAATAAATTGTAGTTCAGCTTGTAGGGTGTGTAAAGCAATTCAGATCCCTGCTGCTGCCCTTTGTTCTAACTTGAATCAGTCTGTTGTCCCAGTTCATACGTGTGTGTTGATCAGACTTCCAACCGTGAGGCTAGTTTTATTGCCACACAAACAGGGATTAGTGCTGTGCTGTACTTGTTTTCACTTGTGCCCTGATTTTGAAGACTCTTTTCAAAGCTGAAAGGTTAGTGGAATAATTCAGTGTGCCACTTCACCTGTATCTGCCTCCAAAGAATTACTTAGTCTGTGCATTATTATTAATGATAGGAAAAGAGAGCAACACTGCTTCTCTAAGATCACTGAAGGATACTATGACACATTTCACATACCTCATTTTCCACATCAAGACTCACAGTATGCTTGACATGGTCTTCTAGGAGTTCATTCAGTTTAAAACAGGTAACGTGGCTAACTATGGAAACTTCCTGAGGCAAAGTGACACTATAAATAAAATTATTCACAAACAATTCATCTTCTCTTAATCCCTTCCTCTCACAGTATTAAATTGTTCTATGACATGTTTTGTATAGCATGTCTTACACTGCCTTTGTCTGCAGTTTTCAGATTGGTTTTCTTATAACACTAGCCTGGATGCCACTGAAGACAACATAAGAAAATATAATTAGATATTAAATAATTTTTAAAATTAAGTTTAAGGATGTTTTTGATGTGTATCAAGCTGTCAGCATTTGCTGTTAAGAAAACCATTGCTTCAGTGACTTATTAGCTTCTGCTTTTTCCCTGATCTTAATTTTTTTTTTAGTTTGCCTTTTGGGACCTGTTTCTTAAAGGTTGGTACAATATTAGAAACCACAAAAATTGGATTTAGAAAACTTAGCTTTCACTGCAAGCCAATATGGGAATATATTCTGTCCTGTACTGCTATTTGCATGGAAATCACTGAACAAAATGTGTATGAACTTTTATTTGGGGGAGGTTTAATTTAGGGGTAACCAATCCCACCTGTGCTGCTGTATGGAGATGAATTCAAGGCAGCTGTCCTGTAGATGACATAGAGAGCACCTGGATTTTTCCTTAAAAAAAAAAAAAAAAACTCAAAAACTCAAGCACTCCCCATTTTTTAATTGAAAAGGAAATACAGCAGAATATTTGGAAAGAGAAGCAGCCCTGAAGAAAACAGTTAGTATTCCATTAACCAAAAACTCTTCTAAATATGTAACTGGAGTCCAAATAACTAAAAAATTACTTGTTTGTTTTCTTCTACATTTCACACAGCCTGTCCAAAGAAAAGGGAGCAGATTTAATTTTTGGTGTCTGAGGTTTCAGTACAGGTCTTTCAATAGGATGAGCACAGAGCCTTTCAATAGGATGACTCTCACAGTTATGAGAAAGGAGTTGTTTATAGCTCAGGAGATGGGATAAGATCTTTCAAGTTACATCTAACCTTTTAAAATTCTTCCAGTTTAATTGTGCTTCTTGAGTTGGAGGCCAGCTCTTCCAAATCCCCCTAATACAGAGCTGAATCTAAACCTGGACCAAAAAAAAAGTACATTGTAAATATTTGGCTGAAGAAACTGTGAGATTTTTATAGGGCTGTGGGTTTTTTTAGTTTGTAAGGTGCTCCAGAAATCTTTCTGAGAACCCACTTGTGATGGTGTAATAACTTGCTCCATCACCTGTTCACCATTAAAACTGTAAAATACTGCAATAGAAATATAATTCTACTTAATAAATGCTCATAAAAATGCATATAGCATACAAACACCCATAATGTACATTTTAAGTCTAAATGTGTGTCTCTCTAACCACATTGGCACTACCAATTGGAATTTCATTGCATATCATGTGGCTGATGGAGAAGGCGCATTGAAATCAAGCTGTTAAACACACTATCTCCATTTTTATTTCACTAGAGTATGTTTGCTGTATTTTTAAAAGAGAATTGAAAAGCCCAGGAGATTAATTCTGCTCTGAAATTGCTATTTGCTGACATTTAGATATCTGTAAAAATCCAAGCGGAGAAAAATACAGTATAGCAATATATTTTCATTTATTTGGGGGAAAAGTAGTTTTAAAGAAGAATTATAGTCTGTCTTCTGAATGATAAAGCAGTATAACTAGCATTAAACACAGCTGAAATTTTGTAATGACCAAATCTCAGCTCATCCAAATCCCCAATAGCATTAACTCCCTAGAATTAGGCTGTAAATTTGATTAGCCCTACAACAGACATGAGACGCAATGTTCTTCCTTATACAGTCATATTAAGTGGCTGCAAAAGAAGATGACAAGGTATTGTAGAGCAGCACATCCGACCTTTTTAAGCTAGGAACAAGCTCCAGCTTGCCCAGCTTTAAAATCTACATTTAAATACAGGGTAATTTCATGAAGTCTGATATAACATGAGGATTACATATGGTGAGGTGAGGGGGGATTTAGCAGCTGCAGTCTTCCTATAAATCATCCAGAAGCTTTTCTTCATACTTTAATGTTCTTGATTGGCATTTTTCATGTAAGCTACATCACTGAACCCTAGCTTCTGTCCATGCTTCTTTAATTTGGTGCTCTTTTTATATATTTTCATAACTCCTGCACTGTCCTTTAACATGAAATTAGATGCTGTAACTCCTGGTATGTTCCAACTTTACATGGAACTAATCAGAGTACTGGATAAAAATTTTTCCTTAAACAAGCTACAGGTTATAGAGGAGCCCTAGGGCAGATTTCTAGAAATGAGAATTGAATTAGGGACTAGAAGGAACAGTAAATTACGAGCCCTTAAAAATTTCCAGGGCCACAGAGCTCCCTACGGCTCCCCACACATGGTGGTCATCGCCAGCACCACCCACACCACTGCTCCGGGGTGCCGGTGATGCCGGGCGCCACACGCTGTCACGCTGCCTCACCCCGGATTCCCAGCTGCCAGCGCCCAGGGGATGGGGACAGGGTACCTGTGGCTCTCGAGACAGGCACTGTGCATCTGGCAATCTGAGAGGTCCCAGGGCATACACCTCCTGGCAGGCCAGAAGCTGCAGAATTTTGCTGTTATTGTTATCCATTTATTGCGGTTTTATTTTCATTTCTTTCACCAGGTTGTTCTGATAACACATTTCTGTCATGGCCTTATATTCTGATCCCCTGGTTTTCGTTGTTGTTTGGACACAGTCCCATTTGGAGTGAATTTCTGAAATGAACCCTGATTTACTGATGAATCACGCTACTTCTAAAACAAAAAGAAAAGAAAAAGCTAGAGCAATTTACTAGTTATGCAAATAAATTTCTAACATCAAGAATAAAACCACAGATACATACAAATGGAAAATAAGAAACAGTGTTATGGTAATGAGAAATGGAAACATGGGAAAAGTACCATTATGAATTTTGAGATGCAGTATTCCTTTTTATCTCTTAATTAGACAGTTTACACAGCGGTTGCTTTACAAATGTATACTTGTCCCTACTAATGGAGATGTCACAATACTCCTTAAATAGTGCAGCCCGGCTGAGAACCAGGTGGTGCTCAGCCATGTGCTACTTAGTTGAGGGGGGAAAAGGGAACTATTGTTTCTTCCTCATATTTGGTATTTTGTAGGACTTGGACACTATAACCAAGGCTCATGCATGTTGGGAATTAAATCTTTTATTTGTTTTAATTAAGGTGCTTCAATTTATCTTGTAATCTCCATTTCATGGCCCTGTCCCCTGTGAACCGCATAGTGATGGTGACTCATGACTCATTAAGTGTTGGGAGATCTGTCTCCTTTGGCCCTCCAGCTGGCTCCCTCCTCCCCCAGGGACAGCACGGCTTGGGCTTGAAGCTGCCCATGCAAATGCAGAAAGAAACCGTTTTCATCGCTGGAGTTGACACACCATCCTTATGTCCTCCTGCACAGGTGCAGTGTGCTGCATCAAATAGGCCAGTGTGCCACTGGTTGGATGGCTCTGATCTGAAGTTACAATTTCCCTCCTCACCAACTGTCCCGACTTCACAAACAAAGCATTTGTACCTTCTTATGGTTTTACGGTTTCACAGGAACTGCTAAAATAAGCCAGCTCTTCAAATACTTGTTGAAAAGTCCTTACTATTGTCCTCATAAATAACAATGTATAAAGACAACACATCTCCAGAGCCTCTGACAGGGATGTGAAATATCTGGGCCTCTCTGGCAATAACTGTGTTTCTGTTTCTTCAGTCTGGAGTCTCATATGATGAAGTGGCTTTGCCAAATTGTGGGTTTGTTCTTTTCTTCAGTTTTGTGATAACCAATAAAATTTGCAAAGAATAATGTTACTACTGTTATTACCAAAAGCACCTTTTAAGTAGCATTTCCTCAGAAGCTGGCTGTGGGTATAGCTGGTCCTGCTCATGCTAGAGCAGGCAAGGACCTCTCTTTGCATCAGTAGTCCTGCTTCACACAGGCAGACACTGATGGAGGGAGGCACTGACTTGAGGGAAGCACCCTGAGCTGACAATTGATCCACAGGTCACTCTCAGTGGGAATTTCCACATCTACAACAAAAACTATGTAGACCTCAGGCATCTTGCAGGCTGTCACCTCCACTCTTTCCCCAACTGCCAAATAAAATACTGCAAAGACAAAGGCTTGAATATATGGATAAATAAACAGACCAGTTCTCTATGTTATTGGGCTTCAACAGATCTTTACACATTCTTATCAAGAACTCCCGTCATTGATTCTCCCACCCCAAAAGAAAGTGGACTCCCTCCCATGCTGGGAGAAGGTGAGAGGAAGAGCCTGTACCTTCCAAGTCCTTCCAAAGATATGTTGTTGAAATACTTCCTTGCTCCCAAAAGGAGATATAGATGGAAGCCCACACTAGGAAACCAAACATCATAATCTATCATCCAGGACTGGAGATGATGATAAGATCCTGAGTACCGTTTCAGTATATCAAGGAAATTGATTTACAGCTCTCAATGTGAAAGACATGCTTTCACAGAAACATTCATCCCACACATGAAAGACTTTCAGATTTGAACTGGGTAAACCTTTACTATAGCACATCACTTTTCACTGACTCACATAAGGGTTTATAAAGGTCTTAGTGGCAGCACTTTAAATACGCACTGAACCTCATTAAGCGCTTGCTGTGTTCCAGATGATAATTCCATAACATTCTTGCAGCCCCTCACACCCAGATGCCTCAGAGGCTAAACCCCACCTTCCTCTACAGCATGAAAACCAGCACATTCATCTAATTTTGCTCCAAGAATTCCTTCCAAGTTCAACTCTTAGCCTCCATTCCGTCACGGGGCTGTGAAAGTGTTTCTTCACACAGTGGTGTCACATCCAAGGCGGGTGTGGGAATTAGCAGCAGTGCTGTCAGGCTTATCCCCAAGCTACATTACACCATGACAAGGTTTAGTAGCAGCTACTCCTTAAATTTTTTGCCGAGAGAAATTTTGCCCTTTCCAGTTGTTCAAGTTTCCCACTTACCCTCCAGTGCTTCTCTCAAACTTCATTCCAGCTATGAACAACTTTGCACTCCTTAAATACCTGCAGACTGTTAGCCTCCTATTCGCACAGAACAAAATCCTTCTGGTAATCCCCTATATAGTTCTTCTTGGCTGAAGAGTTAAAGGTGATATACTTTGTAGTATGAAACTTTAAAAATGGATCTTAGATCAGATATGTTTCTTTGACACTCATGCATGTAAAAATAGCAAAGTCCAGGCCTTGGTGACCTCCTCTGGATATATTAAGATATTAAACGTAATCATATACAATAAGAGTTTGCAGGACTGGGACTATAGGGACTTATTACACTGCAGTCACAGTGATAACTTGCCTTACTAATTTAAAAGGTGCAAACTTGAGATTCAAATCACTGGCCCTTCCTGAAAGTGCAAGATGTACATTCAAAGCAAATGATTTTCTCATTAGCTGTTATTCACTAATATTCAGTAACGTTGGCAGTAAGCCAATTAATTGATTTTTGGCTAAACCAATGTATTTCTCCTATCATAAATTCTTATTGTCAACAAACAAACAAAAAAGCCCAGATTTACTCTGCTTTGCAGAAGGCCTGACATCTATCCCAGGAATTTCAGTAGTTAATAATGCAAACACCACACTCATATTACAACTGCACTGGGGAAGCTGAGATTCATATTGTTCAATGGCACCATCTTCAGTCAACTACAAAGCTGATTATTAACTGGCTTTCAGAAGAAGTCATGTTCATCTGTCCTAAATCAGGAAAAAACATGGTATCAGTGCTTCTGAACTTGCATGGTACAATCTCAGGAAATTTACTGTTGCAGAAGAAATATCAAGAGTATGGGTTCCTCTAAAAAAGGGAACATCTATATATATTTTGTCTGCTTTAAATTGAGAAGAGAAAAATGTTGTCTGAAAGATAAAAATGTTGATTATGTACAGTCACTTCTGGGAAAGTCTTGCCTTAGTTTGTTTTTGTTAAAGGGTTGACTGTTTTTGATTAATTATTTGTGAAGTAATTTGTAGATGCAGACCAAATCATGCAGCATTCTGGCCATATGAATGCTCAGAAAGATCCCATAAATTAAACACCAGTTCCCAAAGTTCGTAATTAACATTTGATACTTAAAAAATAGTACTTACTTCCCTAATTCCTTATCTTCCTTTATGCTTTAAAAGTGAAAATATTTTTAAAAGAAAACAACATTGAACCTGATAATAGAATTAGAGCCCATCCTCTTCTTAGGTGATAGTATAGATACTTGTGGGAGTCTAATACCATAAATAAATGACACAGTATGTTTATTCTTATCACCTGAAAGTGACTTTTAGCTCAAAAGAAAATTATTGGAACATCTGCTCATGAGACAGAATTGTAGAAAATGGTTTTAGTTATATGTTTACCAGAAATGTATAGCTAATTGCCAGCCAACTGTTCCCCATCTTCCTTTCTTTCTGTATGCAAGCATGCTTTCAAAATGGGACTAGTATATGTAGGCACCTTGTTCTTGTAGTTCAACCTAAGAGAAGTGAATGAATGTGGATCTGAGAACAGATTTTTCATCCTTCCAAGACTGACGAGTATTTCATGGTTTGTGTTTCCTTTTCAGCTGACCCCCTGGTTGGAAGTATTGCCACCCAGTATATGACTAACAGAGCAGAGCACGACAGAATGGCCAGACAGTGGACCAAGCGATATGCCACATAGGAACCTACTCTAGGATTTTCTGGACCTGTGCAAGCACATTCACTAAGTGCATCAATATCCCTTCCCTTCATTCTTATTTTTTATTAAATTTTGAACCATTTTGTGACAAAACATTGTCCTTACTTTCTTTTTGGTTTTATTTTTATTTGTTTGGGGGTTTTTTGTTCTGTTAACTTGAAAGTTGTTTCCGTCAGATGTAGACAGGGAATTTTGGTTATCAGTGCAAAGAATGTTGGATCTGTAATAGTATAGAGCTTTGTCACAAAGCTTTGTATTAAATGTGTGTTTGTTTTTTTTTTTTTTCTTTCATGTGGTTTTTGGGAAAACAAACAAATTCAGAATTATATCTTATTTCTACTTAAATGTAGTGTTTAGGGTTATTTTTTTGTACTGAAGTCTTTAATGGTGGGTGCATGCTACTGGGAACAAGTTTTGTATAAAAGCTTAAAATCAAGAATCACTGTGCATTACTAAGACTGTGTTTATCACTAGCCTTCTGTTTCCCACACGAAAGGCTATTGCATTGAACAAATGAATATGTATTTTGATTTACTTAAAAGAAAAAAAAAAGTGCTTGTAAATTTCTTAGGGACCTGCCACTTTTGACTGTGGATCAGTTGATGTACACTTGTATTATTAAAGCACTCAATAAAACACTGTGGCTGATAAATGCACTTCTTGCAAGACAGTGCTTTTGCATTTGTGCAGTATAAGCTGCATAGTCCTCACATAATACAACTGCAGGTTAAGCAACTATTTTTAAACCTAAACTATTCATTTCTTCTTAACAATGCATTTCTTAACTTAGAATTCTTCGTTGTATATATCTTTCATATACAAACATATTCCAAATTTTAAGGCCTTTCTTTCATATGCCAGTGCTCATCTCAGCTATTCGGAAGCCTCTTGCTGCATCTTTTATACTATGGCTTCACTATATCCATCTTGTTACATTTCAAATAGTTGGCTATAAAAACGGCCTTGAAGTGAAAGCAGAATATTGATGATTTTATACAGCAGGCCTCATTTTGCCTTTCTCCAAGCTCTTTAATTGTAAAAGCAACTGTTATTTAAAAAAATAAATGAAGGTTTTTGATAGGAAAATTGAGCCCATTGCACCAATCATTCCCAGCACGTTCAATGGCAAGGGTATTTCTATTCAGATTTGACCTTCAGGCTAATTTTAGATATGCAGCCATAGAAGGAAAACTTCTACTTGGCTAAGGAAATGTGTGGGTGTTGTGATTTAGAAAATATATACTGTGATGCTGATATCTAAATGTTCTTTGTCTTACAAAGCACATTGGAAAATCCGTCTTATATAATTGAACATTACAGATGCCGTATACAGTACTTGCCTGCCCTCTCCCCTCTCTCCTTGCCTCTTCTGTTTAAAGAAGATCTTATCTTAAAGTAGATACATTACAACAGGGAGAGTATAAACATACAGGGAGATCCAATCCCATTACCCTCCAACCCAATCCAACCATCCTGAAAACTAAAGCAGTCAAGGTGAAACCGTAGGGCCTCTATGCCAACCACTGTGCTGCTCAGTATTTCCAGGCTGTTTTGCTTTTCTCTCAGCCATTTGCTAATACCTGAACAGATATACAGCTTGAATCTGCTGGTGAGATGTCCTCTGCATGAAGAGAAGCTGAACGTTGACTTTGTTGTAGGTTGGATATAACTACCGCCCCAAGAACCACAGGGTTCTCAAAGAAATAATCAGTCTCTTTTTATCAAAGCAAACAGAGAGTCTTCTGGTGTCTGCAGAAGCCAACTGTTTACAAGCCTGGCCATACAACATTTTGAGGCCAACAGATCCTAAATACAGACGTGAAAGAGCAGTAACAGTTAAGAAATAAAGAAGAACCTAAAACCCAGACTTCTCTGAGCCAGAATACCTTCTCAGGACAACTGTTACATGTGCTTCCCTTGGAAGTTGCTTCCACCATACAACTTGCCATGAAGTACCTCCACGTCTGAAGGGAACTTTCCTGCTGTAAAAATACAACAAAGAGGTAAAAGGATTAAAATGTATGAATGCATCCTGCCCAGTACAGTAACTACATAGCTTCTCCTCTTAGCCCATCTGCTGAAGACATTCCTGTCGCAGAAGACCTGTATCCCCTGAGACAGCAATTAATGGGCAATTTCACATTTCTTACGAATTACCTTAAGTGTCTGCCACACTGCAGCCTTTATTTACACTCAGCTGAGCATAATTCAGTAATTTCCCAGGTACATTTTAAACCCACTTGAAAAAGAAGTCTTTAATTCCTTCTATTATTTTTTTTTTCCAAAAGATAAAGAAGACATTATAAACAGAAGAGTCTATGGTATCTCTAATGAAGACATAACTGAAAGACAGCTGAGATACCTTGGAGGGGGAATCACAGAATTATTAATAAATGTCTATTCTCACTTCATCAGCTCTCACTTGCCTTTCTTACCCATCAAAAGCTGTGCAGTTTGAATTTGCAGGTAAGTTGCCCTCTCTGTGAAGCTGAACAGTCGCTTTGTCCTAGATAATATAAAACTACCACCTTAAGAACCACAGGAATCTCAAAGAAAGAAGGGATCAACCCACATTGATTAAAGCAGATGCAGAGTCTTCTGGCATCTGCAGGAGCCAAATGTTTGCAAGTCTGGCCATAAAACATTCTTCTCTATTTGCAAATCTGCTTTATTTGCCTCCCAAGTAATTCTTTTTCTTCATCTGCTAAACCTGGGAAATAAGATGCGTTATTTGAAACCTGCTGTTGTCACTGAGGAGAAATGAGCCATCCCCAACAGAATTCAGTCTGCCAGCAGAGCCCCACTGAACAATAATATATTGACATAGTTTCTTTTTCTCCTTTTCTTTTTCTTACATCTAGAAAATATTGCACATTATTCTATCTCACCTTTGCTCTTCAGATCTGCAGATTTGACTGATTTCTGCTTCTTCTTTTATGACAAATCGTCTTCCTAACAACCTGTAGATGGTGAAGTCCACATGCTGCCTTCCTACAACTGAATATGAAGATCATTCAAATGGCTTGCACACATCAAAACATTCAGTACCAGACAGTTATCCTAAAACAGCATATAAAGGCCATCACTTCAGCAAATCTAGTAATTTCTCAAGGACACACAAATGCTAAAACTGGGTTTTGTGCTTTAAAGACATCTTACAGCTTTTCTGAATTCAATTACAATATCAAATGAACAATATTTAATTTCCAGTAACCCCAGCTACATGTCACTGCCCCATACCCTTTGAGGTCAACTCGGAACAGAAATCAGGGAAGTCTACAAACTGTATTTACACATTCATGAATTATTGAAGTGGCCTTCACATCCCTCTGTCCCACTGACCAGCAGATTCCCCTCTCCAGAAAATTGCAGAAAAACGTAGCTTAATTTCAGGTACCCAAAACCATCCTGTATTTCCAGAGACAGCATTTACAGACTGCTCCATGAGTGAGTTTTAGCAGCTCATATCCCTTTGATTATATGCATTGTGGATGATTGCAGCCAAACAGTTAAAATCTATTAAAACCAGCTGCTGCACCATGAATAAGTCAGGAATAATTCCTCTTGAAAGATCTTTCTTCAGGTTTTCATATTGTGAGCTGCAGATGGATACACAGTAATATCCCATGCCCAAAACCCAGGCAGCAGCTCACAGCCCTTCTTCCCTGCTACCCTGTTCAATTATACTGCGTACATATAAAAAACACCAGAGGTGGTCGGGCCCCATAAACCCCAAAATTTGGCCCCTCATCAAGGACCTCTCAACCTTTTAAATTCTGGCCCAACGCACGTTCTGGGTAAGGTTCATGCTCTGATCTGCTCTTTCAGCATGCTGTTACAGCATGCTCCCCCTTGCTGGCTGTCTTATCTCCGGCATTAATCCCCTGGATTTCCTCCTCCTTCTCATTGACCCTTTCCTTCTGTCTGGCTGCTTTCTTCTGCTTGACTGATCCCTTACTGGCATCTGAGAGGCTACCCAAGACACTGATCTCAGTTCAAATAGCTCTTCCTGAAGTTGCCTGGGCATAGTAAACTCTTTGTCCCCCAAAGTACATGCCCAGAATGTGCCCCCAGGCCCCTCTCTGCTCCCCCTTGCCTGAGGCAGTGCCTACTGCAGCAGGAAAAGTAAAGGCAGCTCCACTGGAGTACGAAGATGCCATGTGATGATTCAGACAGCGGAGCAACTCTCAGTTATTCCAACCCCATCATTATCCTGGGGTGCCTTTTCTCCTTTCCAGTTCTCAGAAACTTTTCTTGTCTCTGAAGCTGTATATCATGCCCCAGGCCTAATGCACTTACCTGCATTTTGAGTTGGGCAGAGTAAAGCAATGACTCAACTCAGAGTAAAAGTTCTGGCACCTCCACAGTCCAGCTGTCCAGCCTTGGCAGCCACGATTCCCGCAGAGCCAGCTCTGCCTGCTGGTTTTCCATTCTCAGTTGCTCTTTCTTCTGTTCTCGTTTTCATTCCTTTTCATTTCTCCTCCTATCCTTTCCTGCACAACATCAACACTAAATCTTGAAGCTTCCTTCTCCCCCCTTTCCTCATCTCAGTTACGACTCTGTTCTTCCCCCGGTGCTAACAAGACCATGACACGTAACACTGGGCCTCCTGGAGCTGCTTGAAATCCCTTGATTTTCAGGTCTTAGAAGCAAGAAACAGCTTTGTACAAATTAAGTACTTCCTCATTATGCCACGCCTGGCACTGGCTATAAACTAAATCACTTCTCTCACACGTCATTAGCAGTAATGAAATCCGGGCTGGCCTGCCTCCTTAGCATGACAACCATATGCAAATTAATTTCCTCAGCTCAACCGGTCTGCAGAGCCAATACATGGCTGCTTGGGATGCCTCCAGCAGCCTCTCAGGTCACAACTGAAATATATTTGGGGACTATTATTTACCAGGAAGGGTTTTATGATACCTTTAAATCCATCATTCTGCACTCTAATTCCATCACGAACTTTAATAGGGACCTGCAGCATGTAGGGATAATGAAAAGGGCAAAGCAAAACATCCCCTTCATGTCTACTTCGATTGTGAAAGAAAGTAGTCACAGGCTAATGGAAGATTGAAATAAAGACAAGGCTACTAAACCATCCTAATCCCTTGCCAGTCCAAAATTAGAGAAATCGCACTTCATGTAACAGCTAAATAAAGGCTGTATTTACTTCTATAGATTCTGCAGAACTGAGTCCAAAAAAACCCACTATGCAGGAGTCCCAATAGTACATGTGGATGGTCAGATCATTAATTTCAGGAGAGGTTTTCTAGGGAAATGCTTCTACCAGGAAGAGCTTGCCGGCACCTTCATCTTCTCCACCTCTGTGGGGGCTGCCCAAAGGACTCCCCCCTTGGCAGTCCCTTGGGAAACAAGTGCTGGAAACAAGCACCTCTGGTCATTTCTTATTGTCACTGTTCCTCAAATACACTCACTCACAACAGGCATTTGTTGCTGCAGAACCAGTGCTGGTGTCCCCTTTTGTGTCACTGAGGACCTTGGGGTTATGAAAAACAAAGGGTCACACTTCAGTTTCTGTGAAATGCCTCCTTTCTTTGCAGTTGACTCATACCCTTTGTAAGGCGCTGAATGGAGTCTCTTCACATGAATGGAGCTCCTACCACACAGATTCCAATACAGCCCTGCTCCTTTCTCCACTTGTCATAAACACAGCAAATAAAGTGCTTCTGCCCATTGGGCTTTGCAAACACCTTGCTCATAGCAAAGCTTAACTGTGCTCTTGCCCATCTTCAAACTCTTCTCAATTACATTTCTCAGACACTTCTCAATTATAAGACCCTTTCTCTAGTAATCCTCAACAGCAAGGACCTGCAAAAATCCTGCTTCCTTCTTCCTCTGGACCACATGCAACCTTCATCCCTGCTCCTTCTCTGCTTTCCCCAGTTCCTAAATCTGTTTCTTCACTCAGGCTTCAGAGAACCAAACCCCTTGCTAAGACCACAAATACCAAAGCCACCTCTGCTCTGCTCCTCTGCATTGCTGTCTCACCACAGTGTGCTGACATCTCACTGAGGAGGGGAAAGCCCACCCCAGTGCCTGAGATTGCTGCCATCTTTGCAAAAAGAGGGTTGAAAACTTGCTTTTTTCTTTTTTATGGGAAAGAGCAGGTAATGCTCCCAGTGCTCAGCACTTACACTAAGGCACAAATTCTCTCTGCAGATCTCCTGGCCTCAAAGTTCACAACAGCACTCTCCACTGATCTTCTAGGAGCAGTATTGTAAGTAGTAGCAAAATGGTTTGTATTAAATGCCCTGAATGTTACATATCTAATAAATAGAATTAAACTTTCCAAAGAAATCTGTGTCCAGTTGGAAGTTCATCATCTTTTACACAGGAAAATAACTGTGTAAATTAAAAAGTCTCTCTTGTTTCCTGTTCTGCTTCATTATGTATTGTCCACCTACTACCTCTTGCTGCAGTTTTAAAAGAAAATCTTCCTGAAATCTACTCAGAATTTAAATCCTTATTGCAAAGCATCAAAGAATAATCAAAATGTGCTCTGTCATATCAAGGTCATCTAATTAGAAAAGCTCATGGAATTATTTATATACATATACTTTCATGATAATTTAATAATTAATATGCTTAAGGAAATAATCTCATTCTCTTCTATTTCACAGTATACATCATGAAATATTATTTCATTACTGTGTACATTTGTCATTTTATCTATTTAAAATAAATATATATTTTAATATCTTTAATCAATAGTTTTCTAGGGGAAGAAGACGACTATTACTTGTATAGTGTAGCACTGTGTGGACTTGTTGTAAAAGCGTAATCCTATTTGTAACTTTTTTCTTTCAATTTGTATAAAAGTTTGAGCAAAGTCTGCAAACAAAAAATGACAGCAGTCACTTGAGCCCTGTTAATGTGCCGACTGGAGCTGTTGGGCATAATAACTCTGCCTAATTTTCAGAGTGGCACTGAAAATGGAGGCAGGACAAGAGATGCAGTCAAACCCCAAGAAGAAATGAAAATAACTACAGAAATAAACACTGCACTCCTGTGCTACAAGTTTCCTCCAGCGATGTATACATGCTGCAGCAACCCCCCTAGGCCAAAACAAACTGCTAGCTGCGGGATGCTGAACTGTTTGAGCAAACATACTGCTGCACCTCATCCAGATCTGACAGCTTCACACTGTCCTCGCTGGGTACCAGGCTCTTGGTTGCGAATGAGAACAGGTAACCCCGGGCAGACGGCGTGTTAAATGGCACAGCTGAGGAAGCCTGGCCTTCTTCCTTGCTCCTGGTCCCCTTAGCAAGTTGGCTTCCCTCTCCATAACGCCACTCATCAGATGCTGTCGGGCCTGCACGTGCCTGTCGAAATTCAGCAGCAGTTCTGTTGATGCTGCAATGATGCAAAATGAGGCAGGTGTGGAGGTGTGCGGAACCAGGTGAAGTCATTCTCCCTCTGCAGCTGAGGCACCCCACACCTGCTCTAAATCCACCCTGCAGCTCACTCTGGGCAGAGCCTCTCCCCCTGCAGAAACGCCTGTTCTCATGGGCTGAGGGGACCAGCCCTCCCTCCCCTCCTCCCCCACTTGCATCCAGCCCAGCTGCCATCGCTCAAAGCCCCAGGAGGTGTCACCATGCCTCTGGCATGTTCAAATTCAACCTAGGTCAGAACCAAAAGGATCTTTCCAGGATTCAGAAGCCTCGTGCAGGGCCAAAACTGCCAGCAGGTAGTGCTCTCCCAAATGACGGATCTTCGTGCAAGGCCAGGACTATCACCCCTCTCTCACAGAAGCACCACTTAGTATTCATGGCACAGATTTAGCAATCACGGGATTCAATGCTATGAAATAATTGGTGGGGTTTTTCTGGTGTGTTGGAGAATGGCTCAGAGACAAGGGTCCTGTGCCTTTAGCCAATAGATTGTAAGCCTGCATGCCTAAATTGTGCCTTGTCATGTATTAAGAAAATCTTTGAATGAACGTTGGCACAGGCTCTGCTCATACAAAAAGAAAAAGGGGGAATTGTTGGAGAATGGCTCAGAGACAAGGGTCCTGAGCCCACCGAGCAATTGTATGATCAGAGCCTGCTCTAGCTGCTGATGCTGAGCCTCACTAGGGTTTGCCTGCAGCTGCTGGCAGCTGCTGATACCTGAGGAATGTCAAGGACGCTTCAGCCCTGTGTACCGTGGTGTGTCGAAAACAGGTTAAGGGGAATTAGGAATAGTGGTCTGAGAAACCCAGTGTTATGATAACGGTGGTCTGAGAAACATTGTGTTACGGTACTGTCGTGTATCGAAAACAAGTCAACAGGAATCAGAAATAGTAGCGTGAGAAACTTAGTGTTATGAGAAGCTTGTGCTGTAAGCTATCTGCAAGTAGGTGGACCGTGCGAATACGACCCTTAGAGCTTAAGCCAATCAGCTAGTAACTAGTAGGCATAATTAGTAGAAAGATTATAAAAGGCTGTAATGAAAATCAATAAACGGAAGCACACTTTATCACTCATACTGAGTCGGCTACGTTCTTCCTCCTTGGCCTGGGTCCTCGGCTCACCCAGCCCGGCACTGGTGTAATGGGTTTTCTTGTCTTTAAAAAAAAACCCAACATGGTGTGCACAGTCTCCATGTGTCCTTTCCCCTCCTCTTCCCACTACCTCCCTGCTGCGATGCCCCCAGGAGCCCAGCAGGCTGAGCCTGGGAGCCTATGTGTGTATCTGAAGGTGATTTTTTTTGAGAAGTGGGGAGAGATTTAATCAGTAGCAAGAAATATATTGAGAAGCAGGAAGTTTCTCCCCTCTGGAGACTGTCATATGTGTGAAGAGTAATGCAGCACTTACCCTGATGGCTGGACCTTATTTGTGGAGGATGTACCCTGCATTTTCTTAAGTTATATCAAGCCAATGGATGAATTGAAGGGTAGCACTGTGTGTGCTCTTATTTATAAATCCTTCTGTACTATTTTAAGCCAGGCTCGGGGTGGCAGGAGAGGGGACAGCTGCTGGCCGCAGCCTGTGATGCTCAGCCCAGGCCCTTCCCCATCCCACCGCTGGCCCCAGGACATGGTACCCAGAGTGACACGGGGCCGGAGGAGAGGCAATACAGAGACCCGGGGCAGAGGTGCCGAGGAGACAAAACTCACAACTGTGAGACCCAGATGAAAATCAGGTGACAGCCTAGTGCTTTCCCAGCCCACCTGAGAGCATACGTATATATGTGATATATGTATATTGATGCATGTTTTATATACATATACAAATTCCTGCTTAGGACACATGCTGGCACCTCCAGGACCAAAGAGGGTTTGGTTCAACCTCCAAGTGCCCCAGCAATGTGCTGGTGGGTGGAAGCACAACCGCCCATGGTGCAGCCCGTGAGGGTGGTTCCAGCACTGCAGAAGGTAAAATAAAGAAAATAACACTAGCAAGAACTGATGGTGAGGCAACTAGTGATTAAAAAAAAAAAAAAAAAAAAAGGGGGAAATGTCAGTGGAAGCCTTCTGTAGGTATAGAACCTACAAGTAAACTTGTCCAAATGACAGAATTAAAGATCAAAAATGTCACCTTCCAGTCATAAATTAATATTCCAAAGTAGAGAGAAGCTTTTTGCTGACTAGTGTTTCACTACACCTAGGCAAAACAGTAACGAGTCACTTCCACTAGGCACAAAGTACACAGCCCTGACTTGCGTTGTTCCAGTGTGGGGGGGGAGACATATTAAAATGTTAGTTGCCTATAGACAACATGTTATTACACAGCCTAATTAGAATTATTATTAAAATTATTAGAAATATTTAAAGCTCCTCACTCCCCATGCTGAACTCCTTAACAACAAATATTTGTCTTTGAAAGGCCTGTTCTTCCAAATAAGCATCCCTGATCCCAGAAATCAGCAAAGCCCATCAGCAAGGGGAAAAAACATTACCTCCAGATCTTTATTAAATCCCTTGGGAAAAGTAAAATATCTTAAAGTCAATAATTGTCCAGGGAAGTGGGAAGGTGCTAGCTCATGGTTGAGATGT